TTAGCTTCTTTATTTTTAGTATGGTTAGGGCTGAGCCCCTTGCTGTGAGTCTGTGAAAACCCCACAGGGGGTTTTAAGTATCTCTTGGGGCTCTCTACTCTTTGCTTCTTAGTGAGTAGGCATGGAGAGCTTGTGGGTGGCTGTCCATAAAAATAATGAGCATTCATACAGTAATGAGTAATAGTGATAGCAGGACTTAAAGTGGAGAGGGGAAGGAGAGAGGGGGAAGAAAGAAAGAAACTAAGTGCCAATAATGTTTCACATTGAGTGAAACCTCTAGAGTGAAAGGAAAACTTGGAAGATAAGGACTGCTGGTGTTGATACTTGAGGATGGAGGACAGTAGTTTGTAAGTGATCCTGATCCCCAGCCTGAGGTGTAGGAGTCAGAGGCCTGCAGGGGAGGCAGCATTTTCAGGAAAGTCAGGTTTCCACAAGGAGGTGAAGAGAAGGTTCAGTGCCGTTTTCCATAGAGCTAGCACTCCAGAGGGCAGTGGAGTGGAAGAGTTGTAGGAAGGGGAGTAATAGGTGGCTGGGCAAAGGAGAATAACAGCTGAGTAGGGGGCAAGACAGACAAATGGATGGTCCCAGAGGGTTGTATATTTTATGAGTGGCGAGGAGGGTGGAAGTACGTTTTACTTCTCATAACCATTGGTTTTCCTCCTACCTCTTCCTGATGCTTTCTCATTTCGCACTGGCGGCATTTTTGGACTCATACTGTTACTTCCACTGCACTATTCCTCTACCTCATTGAACCTATCACCCAGTCCTTTTTCACCTCCCCCAGCTGCATTTCTTTCCCTATCTAGCATATGTTAAGCCCAACTCTCCTTTACCGATATCCTCAGCTCCTCGTATAGTTGGCTTTCCTGTTGTACCCAGCTGGCCAAGTCTGATATCTGGATGCACACTCACAGCCTTTATCCACACTGGAGATGATTTTTCATGTAGTTGGAAAGTTGTGGGTCATATTAACTTCCTAATCTGCAATCTCATCCTGGCTCTCAGTGCTGCCCAGCCCCTTCCCCCTTTCCTTAGGCAGCATTCTTTCTTCACAGTGGCTACTTCACTTTTCTAAGCCACCTCTGCTGCCCTACCCACACCTGTGCTCTGCAGATGGTCTTTCTGCATTCTTTTTTCTTTCTTTTTGCGGTACGTGAGCCTCTCACTGTTGTGGCCTCTCCCGTTGCGGAGCACAGTCTCTGGACGCACAGGCTCAGCGGCCATGGCTCACGGGCCCAGCCGCTCCGTGGCATGTGGGATCTTCCCAGACCGGGGCACGAACCCGTGTCCCCTGCATCGACAGGCGGACTCCCAACCACTGCACCACTAGGGAAGCCCCTTTCTGCATTCTTTACAGATCAAGATTACCTCAGCTTTCTGCCATCAAAGCTATTCTCTGCCTTTTTTTCTAAATATGGCCAGTAAAAATACTACATGTACATACGCATACCCCTCCCTCAAACCCATATTCCTCTCAGTACCGTCTATTGCCTTTTCCTCCATAGCCAGACTTCTTAAAATGTGTCTGCTTTTCCTTCCCTTCCATTCTTCTTCGACTTGCTTTGCTACATTAGCTTCAGCCCCATCATTCCTCTGAGGTTCCCCTGGCCAAGGTCATGTATGGTCATCCTTATCACCAATTCTAGTGGCCTCTACTTAGTTCCTCCTCTTACTGGGCCTCTGTATTAGGCATTGTTAAGCACTTCTTCCTAGAAATGCTCTTTTTATGGTGCCCTGGCTTCATATCTTCAGGTTTTCTTTCTCTGTCTCTTGCTGAACCTTGGTGAGCTCCTCTTCCTGTGCCCGTCCCTTAATTATTGGTGTTTATCAAGGTTCTCTTCTAAGCCCCCTTCACTCCTCTGGATGACCTTTATCTCCCCACCTGCTGGGAGGACTTATCAAATCTGTTATTTCCTCTCTAGACCTCTGACCTGAGCTTTAGAACAGTAGTACCTTCAACTGCCTATTGGACATCTCAAAAGCACATTATCACCCTAAGCAACCACCCTCACATGTTCATTGGTGCACTGAATGGCACTGTATCCAGTTACCTAAATCAGAAACCTAGGCATCGTTTTTACTTTGCCTGATTCCCAACATTACTCACCCTTTGTACTTAGAGAAACACAATATTTCTCCTTTTGTTTCTTTCCTAGTTCAGCCATAGTTGTTTCTCACCCAGGAAACTATAGCAGTCTAACTGGTCTCCTTGCCTCTAGTATTTCTTGCCCTGCTACTGGTTCCATTTCCATACTCCAAAAGGAAAAATTTCAAAATACAAAATCAGATCATGTCATTCCTCTGCTGAAATCCTTCATTGGCTTCCTACTTCTTAAGGTCAAGTCCAGACTCCTTACCTGTGATCTGACCTCTGCTGACTTTGCCAGCTCATTTCTCATTACTTTTTTTTTTTTACTACCATTATCCCAAATCTCACCAAACTTTTATACCCTCAAGGGCACACAGTGTTCCTTATGGTACTTCCCTTCACCTGTGCCTACTCTTCCCCGAGAGCTCAGTGTCCTTGATTATCCTCAAGTCCAGGAAACATTCCTTTTCTCTGTGCATCCAGGGCATTATTATTTACCTCCTTATCAGACTAGTTTTCAAGCCATAATGCAATGGACTGCTTTTTATTATCCCTGACTATATTGTAAGCTCGTTGAGGGTGGAAACTGCCTCCCTTGTTTATTCCCTGTAGTATTCCTGGCACTGAGCACAGTGCACAGCATATCATAAACAAATATTTATTTTAGAAACAAATAGATAAAGTAGACTGTTATAGCTGCGCAAAGCAAGGCTGCTCAAAATACTGAATATGGGCAAGTTGAAGGTTTGGGAAAAAGGGAGACTCAATTTGTATTCCTCCGTAGCAGTGCCGTAGGAGCCATGTTCATGACGACAGTCTTAACTACAACATTTAAGTAGAAATTGGATAAAAGACTTGGCCGCAAGCAAAGTATTGGGGTCAGAGCAAGAATCTAGGTATACCAAATCCAGACTTAACCAATTGCACTTAAGTAACCACCCTAGCTTTAACAAAACTGGGTTTTGTCTGGTGGATGCCACCTTTTGTATGCTTGTAGGGTTCAGTACCACTGCCCACACCACGTAGAATCCTATCTAGATTATTTTTTAATACAGAAGGTTAACAAGCCTATGCAGACTGTAATACAATCTCAATCACCAGTTGTATCTAGAAGCCTTTTTAATCTTCTGTTTTCTCATATGTGCATCATTTTCAATGGAAGAAAAAGAGTAAAAATAATATTAGAGAATTGTAAAAAGAGACCCACAATCATATTCAAATTTGATTACTTTTCATAGCTTTTAACTAGCCCATACATATTTTTATCTTGTTATATGTAACTTTGTATGCTGTACATACACTTTTCCCAAATTTCTACATAGCACTCCAGTGACTATCGTTTGACATCATGACACTTTGCTTATTTAAAGTTTTTGCTGTTAGGCTAAATTCTCAGAGATGGGATTATAGGGTCAGAGTGTAAAAATTGTAAGCCTTTTGCTTTGGGATTGTCCATGATTTTCCAAAAGGGTTATACTAGAAGTTGGCAGGAGTATGAAAGTACAAGGTGTCTTAATGACCTTGAAGCACTGAAGTGAGTGAGGTGAGAGGGGGAAGAGAAAGCTGTGTACATAAAATCTTATTTATATTGGTTTAGCTTTTATGATGTGTCACAAAGGATTTTTTTTTAAGTAGGGAGAAATAATTTTGTATCAGATGACAATATATTCAATTAAAAATACCCTTTAAAGAGTAAATGAAAATTTGTACCTGTTGCGACTCTATTTATTCCATGTTAACTCCTAGATATTCTAAAATTCATCCTTTTAAGTCAGAACATTCAAGAGCTGAGTACATAGGTTGAATTTTAACCCTTTTTTTTTTTTTGGCCCCAACCGGGGATTGAACCCACACCCTCAGCAGTGAAAGCTTGGAGTCCTAACCATTGGACTGCCAGGGAACTCCCTTGGGTCCGATTTTGTCAAATCTACATTCCTTAGGAGAAAATTGTTAAAATTGTTTAAAATTGAGATAAGATTGTTAAATCTTTCATAAGGCATCCCAGTATAAATATGATATTAATGATTCTATTATTTACTCCATTTGTGCCGTTGAACTTGCTTGCTTGCTTGCTTGCTGCATTGGGTCTTCGTTGCTGCGCGTGGGCTTTTCTCTAGTTGTGGCGAGTGGGGGCTACTCTTCGTTGCAGTGCACGGGCTTCTTATTGCAGTAGCTTCTCTTGTTGCGGAGCACGGGCTCTAGGTACGCGGGCTTCAGTAGTTGTGGCACACGGGCTCAGTAGTTGTGGCTTGCGGGCTCCAGAGCGCAGGCTCAGCAGTTGTGGCGCATGGGCTTAGTTGCTCCGCAGCATGTGGGATCTTCCTGGACCAGGGCTCGAACCCATATCCCCTGCATTGGCAGGCGGATTCCTAACCACTGTGCCACCAGGGAAGTCCCCTTTTGAGCTTTTCTGGTTTAGAATTTTGTTCTATTAAAATGATAAGCAGTAGAGAACCCCATTGACCTCTAAGTGGTGACAAACCTGTCATATGCAGGTCATTTAAAAGCAGACTAGATTTGAATGCAAAAAGCATTATAGAATGAAGTAGAGTATAATTACAGTTTATATATACCTATAGTTAGATATACATATTTGTCAGAGTACTCCAAAGTTTTTTCTCCTAAGGGATGCGAGTAGAAAGTGAGAGACTTGAAGTTCTTACTTTTATATACGTCCATGTTGTTTTCAGCATTCATTTAACAATGTGCATGTATTCCGTTTAATAATTTTTTTTTTTAACAGAACACTGCCCAGTTTCCTTGACATGGGTAACAATTTCGCTGAGGCAAGCTTTCATGAGGGGATTCTGTTTCAGTGATTAAACTGGGAGGAGAAATCTGTCAGTGAGTTGTTTCTGCTGCTTATAAGGAGTCAAAATGTAGTGCTTATTTTTTTCCCTTTCTCTCTCAGGTCATTTGGATCCAGGATTCCTAGCAAGTGACAAAACACCTGCTGGCAATGCACCACTCAATGAAGAAATTAATATTGCTTCTTCAGATAGTGAAGTGGAGATTGTGGGAGTTCAGGAACATGCAAGGTAGGATATTAATTGGAGAGAAGAAAATGGTATGGCATGCCATGGCATGGCTGGCATGAATGGTGGGGCTATTTCTCAAATTCCTGTGGCTTAAGAAATACATTTTGATTATAGACACGTATGAGCTTCAGAATGTGTTGCATATTGTCTTATATCAAGAACGTCTCGGTCACACATGTATGTGAAACAGAACTAATGTTTGTCTCTTATTTTTAACAAATGTCTAGGTGACTTGACTGAGTTTTCTGGTATGGCATAAGTATCACCGTACTCCCCCCCACCCCCAATCCATATTTTCTTGCCTTTCACTTTATCTTGAAATATATTGGAAGCAAATAATTGAGATATCTGTATTTGACATCATACCTCTTCCTAGAGCACCTCTTTTTTTTTTTAACATCTTTATTGGAGTATAATTGCTTTACGTTATTGTGTTAGTTTCTGCTGTATAACAAAGTGAATCAGCTATATGTATACATATATCCCCATATCCCCTCCCTCTTGCGTCTCCCTCCCACCCTCCCTATCCCACCT